TAATCAAACACTGACGTAATGAGGTGCACGTTTACTACACAAATTGTGTTGTCTAGAGCATTCATTTCCACTTAAAAGTATACTTATAGCTATAAGTGAGCTTATTTTATGGTGCTTGTTTCAATATCTTCAAGTGTGAACCATTCAAGATATAGGCGTACGAAATCACAGCGTCCGTTTGCCGCTGAAACATGGCCATTCGCCCCATGTAATGAACATGACGCCTGCGACATAGCGCCCCATGGAAAGGCCTCGCAAAGACATCGACATTCCCCAAAGGCGTAGAGTCTTTAGGCCTGACTCCACTTCCGTTTCCCGATGCAAATAGAATGGTTTGGATCGACGGAATTGAAGGCCAATATTCAACGATATCCGTAAGTGCGCTCTCGTCTGTGCCATTTAGTCCAATAATACGCTCAGGTCTCTACTCAGTATTCTGGTCTAGATCTAACGATAGGTAATTTGCACACAGCTATCGGAATATTCGAACAGGACAGCGCTGCTGCATTCATCTCCGTATACTTATAAGCCGCGACACTCGACCAAGGATGCCGTGCTCGCCGCAGGCGAACGCCTGGTCACAAGGCCGACTGCGGCCTTGTACCGTCGGCCACGACGATCGATTTGTCGAAGGCGTTCGATAGCGTCGACCACAGCGTCATCTTCAACAAACTGGTGGTGTGGCGTTACAGATGTGGGATGGTTTATGAACTATGTAAGCGGTCGAGGGCGGATAGTGAGTGCGGGGCGTCTCACTCCCCCCATGTCATGCGGTGTACCCCAAGGCTCGACCGTCGGTCCAATTTTGTTCATTTTGTTTACCAACGATCTATATGGATACTTGACTCATGGTCGCCTCATCTCCTACGCTGGCGACACTATACACGTGAGCTGCACGCTCCCTGACGGGCCAGGTCTCGCCGACTTCGAAACCAGACCGGAACTTACCATGCGTGAGCTTCAGAATTGGTTCAGTGCCATTTCTCTCCAACTGAAGGAAACAAAAACTGCTTCTGTGCCCATTGGGTCGAAACCAAATTTACCAAGCCAGCTGACTTCTACTTTAAAATGCATGGTTGTGCATGCCTCAAGTAGCATTGAAATTATTGGTGTCAGTTCACTCTGGTCTGTCATGGGGTGCTCATGTTTCGAGCGTCGTAAAAAAAAATGCCTGCAGGGCTGCAGTTTGCTATACAGTTGGGAGGAAGAGCTCCAGCTCTCCCCCGTCCCCACTCGACTTTGAGAAGGTGGATTAAATCCGTGGAAAACCGTTTGCTGGCCTTTTTTTGGGGTCTCGTCAATTTTCCCTACTTAGCCACTCCCCCCCTCAAACTGATTTCGCGAAACTGCACCCCTACGCGGATGTTGACCTGGCCCACTCAACGGCGGCTGGCGGCAGGTCCATCGGAATGTCGCCCACGTCGCCAGCCCTCTTGCAAGGCGACAGGGCTGCGGGGCATGTTCGGCATGCGACGAAGCGACGGGGTACGTGCAGCATGCTATAACGGTCGGCGCGGAGCAGGAGGAACTGAGATCGTCAGCTGACCTCGCGTGCTTCCGTCACTGGAGTACGCTGCGCCAGTTGGTTTGTGTGCGGAGGCACAGGTCGTCTGTCTGAAGGCGTGAGGTACGCCGGTGTTACGATGAACAAAACAACATCTGACTTAGGCACATTCGCTCGGCCTTACTTTGCCTGGGACAGAACATCAGCACTGCTGCTTCAGTGCAATGTTCTCGGCCGACGTTATCACTTATCCACCAGTCTTTTCTCACAAGTCCGGTTAGTTGAGAAGCCAACAAGATGTGGCGACAAGGGTAGGTGTACAAGTGTGGTAGCAGCACACGCAGCAGCCTTGGAAAAATTACGAAATTTTTCAGCTTTGCTTCACACATCATGTCCGACAAATACGAGCACTGACGTATGGCAGACTACAGAAGCTCACTGCAACACCCACGTCATGAAAACGAGCTTAAAAATGACAGAAATATCGTGTAACTAAGACAGGGTGATGCAGATTTTACCGCATTTTTGTGAACTTTCCACTGGTGTGGTACCGGCGGATTTTCGGTCAGTGGATGTCTTGCCAGGTCACGGAGATGACCTGAAGGCGGGTCAAATCATGATGAATGGGGGCTTCTCTAGTCGCTGTGTTGGGCCAATGCACGGAGCGCCACGTAAATTACACTATAGCTTCCTTAAGCGTCTTGGACACGAAATGACGCAGGGTCGGACCGTGTCAGGGTCAATAATGTGAATCACAAGTTATTTAGATTACTGTAAAACATTACTTTATGCACTGGTAAGTTGTTCGCCGGAAATGACAAATTTTGATAACGACGAAGCAAAGTGATGGTCTGTCCCCAATTCAGCACATAAGCTGGTCGAGGAGCACCTGTCGGTCAATAATGGTCATCGCAGGTCTCTGACTTTTGGGGTCACGGGACCTAACTTGATTCATCGGGGCCCCTAGACCTCATTTGACCCCGTCTACGTGCTGATAATGATCTTCCGTTTCCGTATGGTAACCACTCCCATCCCTTGTATCGTTACTGCGCGTCTCCTGTAGCACGATTTGGCCTGCGATATGATGTGATATATGGCCCCTACACATATACACACATGCACACATATGACCTCCCGGCATTTCAAAATGGTCTAAATGTTCAAACTTCATACATTCCATGCTTTCCAGCAAAGCTAGATGACAGCTAGTCACAGTGTGTCGCATGCGGATACGCGAGGTTGTCGCCCTGAGTTGACCTTTGTGGGGTCATAGGGCAATTTTCCGCTTAATTTAGCCGTGGGCAGCATGTTGACTGGACTTTGACCCGAATCCAAAGATAAGACTTGTTCCTCGGAGAAAAACCAGGAGAATGGAGATATAGCTGGACTGATATTTCGGCGACACGCCTTTATCGAAACAATACCGGAAGTGACTGACACTTCCACTCCGCTCCGCTTCCGGTCCACTCCGCTCCGCTCCCAGTCCACTCCGCTCGTCCTTCAAGGGATACAGTACCAAAAACGCGAGCTAGGGTCACTAAAATGGGCATCGCGATAGGGGCAAGCGTTCAGGTTTGGTTGATGGTGGTGGCTGATGGTTGGTAAACTTTCATGGAGCTTTCATGAGTGTAAGGTGCTTTTCCCGCGGCATTGCCCGCCTGTGGCATCTTGGTATCCTCTGAGCCCCCTCGACATGCGTCATATTGTGTTTTCAAAGGGGATTCAGCATGCTGAATGCATTTTTAAAACTGGACCATTCATGTTGCGAATTTCTTATTTCTTGAACTGGGCGATTCTACCTGACTGTATAACATTGCATGTGTCCTAGTGGATAGTCATTTTGCAGGCATTACAATTTTGATAATCCAGTAAACCGGCAGGGTTTACTGCCTTCACGTATGGTCATTCTACTGGTTGATGTATCCCTCAACGGAAAAGACACATTTCATGTCAAACATGAGACGGGGACCCGTTGAAATCGTTCAGAAGCGTGACAGGCATTTGTGGGTTAGGTCTAGGCTGATATACTGGACTGGACCGGACCGGACCGGACCCTCAAAATGTCATCGGTGAGAAGCTCAACTATACAGCAGTCACCCCATGCGCGACAACAGGTAACGCGACAACAGGTAACGGCAAAGCGGCAAGACGACCTGAAGCAAGATATTCTTCCTCAGTGACGAGCCGCTCTCGAAAGCTGGCCACGTGGTCTTTATTCCAGCGCGCTTGCGTGCTGCGCATTCCCCATTTGGACTGATCGAAAGGTATTCCTCTTAAGCGGGGTCGGAATGAAGTTCCACTGAAATTACAAAAGAGAACACCTCCCATTGCCTTCCATTTGAAGCAGTCCTATGACCCCTCCTCATTTCACTTGGAATCCAAATCCTTAATGGAAATGTTTTGAAAGCCAAGCGGCGCTAAACTGGCATGTTGAGCGGTACAGTGTAACGGTAAAAGACAGGGTGATTTAGTCTCGCCTCCCAATGCCATAAAATATGTATGCCAACGTATAAACCCAAGTCGATAGGCTGCCGCAAGTAAGCCGAACAAGACGGTCACGTTGTGGGGCGTCAACATTGCATTAGCGCCCGAAATACTGGTTTTCCATTTGTAATTTAATTTCGTCAGTGCGACGGGCAGGCCGCCAGCAGGACGGCGGACAGGCAGGCAGACGTGGAGCAGCCCGTGCTGCTAGGTGACTGGAGCTGGCGCTGACGCCCGGGGACTGGAGCTGGCGCTGATGCGCGATGACTGGAGCTGACGCTGACGCCGGATGACTGGAGCTGGCGCTGACGCCCGGTGACTGGAGCTAGTGCTGGCGCCGCGCCTGATGACCGGAGCTGGCGCTGACGCCCAGTGACTGGACGTGGTGCTATGGCGCTGGTGCTGGCTCCCGGTGACTGGAGCTGGCACTGACGCCCGGGGACCGGGGCTGGTGCTGTGGAGCTGGTGCTGGCGCCGCGCCTGGTGACCGGAGCTGGCGCTGATGCCCAGTGACTGGACCTGGTGCTATGGCGCTGGTGCTGGCGCCCGGTGACTGGAGCTGGCACTGATACCTGATGACTGGAGCTGACGCTGACGCCGGATGACGGGAGCTGGCGCTGACGCCCGGTGACTGGAGCTGGCGCTGTGGAGCTGGTGCTGGCGCCCGGCGACTGGAGCTGGCGCTGATGCCCGGTGACTGGACCTGGTGCTGTGGAGCTAGTGCTGACGCTGTGACCGCAGGTGACGCCACTGAGCGGCCGGTCAGGTCGCGCTGCCCGTTATCACCTGGGCCCAGGGTTGGGCGGAGTGTGGCCGGAGGCCGGTCAGTGGAGGCGTGGACGTGGAGCCGGTAGGATCCTGGGTTGTGCTCGTCTCACAGTCGCCTGCCGGCCTCGGGGACGTTAAGTCGAGGTCTCCTGTCCCGATCTTTCGACCAGGCCAGACCCCGACCCGACCCAACCCGCCCCGCCCCATCCCGTCCCTTTCTGTCCTGTCCTGACCTGACCTGACCTGACCTGACCTGACCTGAACTTACCGGATGTCAAAGGGGCGTCTGGCTTTCTATCATGAAAATTAGTCATCTCATCATCTTGGCGCTCTGCTTGTTGACGCCATGCAGTGCGCTCCTCAATTTCGTCGGCCAGATAGTCAACTTTCTCGCCATCCGTAGTCTTCTGGAAAACTGGGAGGTGAGAGCAGCATGTGAACAATGAATCATTGGCCCACAGTTAGTGCAACGGCGACACAAACGCACAATTGCAAGGTACTGTACAGCTCAGCCCGTGTCCAGCCATATGACCGTCCCACGATATCATCCACCATTTGCTTGTGTGACCTGAGCGTGCTAAATTATTTTCGCATCATGTCATGTAATTGTTGACTGCTGCGTATCAGTGCATGTTTAATTGTGTTGCCAGTGGCTCGTAAATGCGGCAGATATTGTCCCTTTTTCCAGAGGCGCTAAAGGGTTATTTTTCGATATCAAGCAAATTGATAGAGACAGGTCGCGTGCTCACTTCTCGCGGAAACATGGTCCTTTTAACATGTTAGCCTCGGCCCTTGGCAATTCCTTCTCCTCTGACCCGACATTTCCCCGGCGGCGGATCCAGAGGAGTCCGTGGTCACGGGATCCTATCCCCCCCCCCACCCCCCTTCTTGAGCTCTGACAACTGACCGAGAGGGCGCGGGTTTTTACACAAAGTGAAACCAACTGAACGTCTCTGGCCTGCAGCCGGCCAGGAACAGGAATCGAGGTCCGAAAATGGCAAGTAACAATGGAGAGCCAATGAGCAAACGCTTTTTTTGCCTGATTTAGAAGGCCGTGGTGAAAGACGTTTTGAGCTCTTTAAGATGCACGCATTATACTTAACGCTGTTACCGGTGACACTACATGTCAGCTTACCGGGCACCTCGGATCGCTGGTAGGCCTCTCACGGGTTCTCCCCAGTCGCCTGGAAGGCTCTGAGCGATGCTGCCAGGGCCCCGTGTGTTAACCTGTCGGAGAACTCTCGGTTGCTCAGAGGCCCTTCACATTGATCACTGGCACCTTCCACTCGCTCCGGGATCCTGCGCTGTTGCTGGGGGTCATACAAAACAAGTATGCAAGTTAGGGCTCGACCGCTTGCGAAGGGCCCTAGGGACGTAAGGACACTCTTGTCGGGAGGGCTTTCTGTCAACCTGCTCGGGCACTCTGCATCCATCATGGACCCCGCATTGAGCTTGGGTACTTCATATTTGCTGGAAGAACACTACGCTGTTACCGGGACCCTATATCTTCATGTACATAGGCGCAAGTGCCCTCCACATTGTTTTTGAGGTCTTCCCGCTTCCTCCGAGGGCTCTGAGCTCTGACTGGGGAGTCCTGCATGCTAACTCACTGGGGAACTCCCCATCTTCTAGGTGACCACCGCACTGCTATTGAGTTCCTCCCACTCGCTCGAAGTGGGAAACGCTGAGAAAATGGGGCCTCTGTGGAACTGCCGTGGCATCCTCGGTCGTTTAGATGCCTTTCACATTGGCCTGAAGTTTTCTTCTCTTGGATCACCTTCGCTGTTTTCGGGGATCTACGTGTTCACGGACAGAGCGCTCGCGATCGCTCTGCAGCCTTCCGCATGGGCCTTTGACCTTTATCGTAAGCTCAGAGGCACCTCACGCTGTTGCCTAGGGCCCCATATGTGAGGCGAGTGCTAAAGTTCATCATTCGCGGTGTTCTGTTGGCTTGCGAGTGTGAAGAATTGATGATTTAACATTGTTGTCAGCATGTGGCTGTGCTCGGCTTAATCCGTCGGGATTTTGCGCATAGTAGTGCTCGAGATAAACTTCGTCACTAAACACATTCAAAGGTCAATGCATGGGAAAGTGCGTGGGCAAATTAACATTCTCCCTTGGCGAAAACTAAACGTGAACAAGGCAAAGCGGAAAAAATGGCTGCATGACTAAATCAACTAGTTTTGCAAGGTATAAAATCCATCATGAGCCGGCTGGAATACAAAATTTCTTCAGCTTTCGAAACTGCTCTCTTCAAACTGAGGAAAATAACTTTCAGTTGACTTATGAAAATGGTCAAAATGTTTCGCTTTCGCTTTGAACCATTCGCTGTAGATCAGCAGCCTGCGAACTGGGATTTTCTCGGCAGTTTCGCAGCATGAGACAATAGGATATTCATTCGAATTAACAAACTTGATTTCCGGTTACCCGGCTAGTCGGAGTTTAGCCACGTATCGAACGTCAATGACGTAGGTATTGAGGATCATATTTACTCTAAAGAGAAAATGTGTTGTCTAGTAACAGTCGTTTCCACTTAAAAGTACACCAGTAGCTAAAAATGAGCTTGTTATAGCATATCTGATGCTTGCTTCAACATCTTCAAATGTGGAACACTTCCTTTAGGGCTCAACGAATCAGTTTAATTTGGCTTGGGTTGGTGCCGGCTCACATTGATCCCTAAGGCTATTTTTAGGGTGAAATTCATCATCCTGTGTGCCCTGGCAGCTTTGATTTTGAGAACGTGACCAAAAATTAAGACACCTCCTGCTTGCATTGCAAAAAACGGGACGCTGAAGAGCAAGCACACATCCATCGGACGCTGAAGAGCAGGCATACATCCATCGACCTCATGGCTCAGCGTTCGCTCGAATTGTATGCCGCCATTCACGGAGTTGATGGGGAGCCAGCAATGGTCGAACAAGGCCACCAAACCCGCCGGACCCCCAGGCCATTGAGCTTGCAAACCCAAACTCATTTTACCGCGAGTCATTGACTATCTATGTCCTCCTTGTGGAGGCTGCCGAGTGGCTTTTGATGTGTGGATGTAACACTTCTGTGTTGTCTCATGCATCTGCCACCGGGATGCAGATGTCCGATATTCCATATGCACTAATGCCCCGTTGGACTCTGAAGTCATTATTCTTCTTGTAAAGCTGTGGCGACGATGCTGGCTGCATATTCCACAGCGCCGTTTCGGCTCCCAGCGCTGCATAAAATTACCGTATCCTGTTCGGTATCGCGCAGCGTGGTTAAGAATACAGGACGGCTTGGCACGTATTGTATGCAAAGAGGCCCGGACCTGGGCTCTTAGGTAGACACGTCAGAGAGCTGGACTGATGTGAGATGCGGGGACAGGCTGGAAACGCTGGCAAGTAATCTAGTAGTAGTAGTAATGGTATTTAAAGATCGGAATTCTTTTTAGGAGTCTGCCCTGGTCGTTTTTGTTCTTGGTGAGGCAGAAATTTGCAGGTTCTTCGGTGGCAGGTGATGTGCAGTGCTTTTGAATGCGATGAAAATGATTGGACAGGCTGCACCAGCACAGCTTTAATATGACATCACAAGTTCTCCGTTGAAACCGAGAAGCACCCGCTCCTCCCGAAATAATGCAAAAGCCGTTAGGTTCGAAACATCTAACGGTATACTCCAAGGGCACGAATGGCATCCGTCTGCACAGAACTGGCAGGTTGGCGTCTTAGACGCAGTGTCCTAGAATTGCCGACTTTGGGTGTAAAGCAACACCCTATGAGGAGGAATTGTTCACTACTTTCCCTCATATTTTATGTGAATTTTTCACTCCTGCCTGACATTGTTTAATCGCACATGCCAAACCCCTATTTCCCTTTCTGAGGTTTTCAGATGTCATCCAAAACCGAGCTCACTTGAAATCGCCAAGCACAAACGAGGCTCCGCAGAACCCGGACACCTATGGCTATGTCCTGCCTCACCTACATCTGAATCATGTCTATGTATGCACAGAGCAAGGGCGCCAGGTACCTCCAAGCTTAAGAACCCCAGCGACCCCAGCCGCTTGCACGCATTAACTTTGGTTTGTTTGTAAAACGCATCACAATCTACAGCTGTGCGCCAAATGCAAGGTGTTCATGCATCCCTACTTTTTTTTTGGTCTCACCACCACACCATGAAAGCAGAGCCTGGCGCAAACACCAGCAAGGCCTGGTAGACAATTTTACTCCACGTATTTCTGTTTTCCCAATGAAACTTGACCACTCAATTGTATCACTCCCGAAATGCATGAGTGAAAAGTTCAAGAAATGTTTTCTAAATTAAACTTACAGGATAAATATCACCATTTGAGCACTTATATTAACATATTTAAAGTCAAATCAGCTGATTGCAAAATTTTGCGAGAAAAGTACCAGTCTTTATATTTATTTAGCTACTTTTGTTTTGCTTGGTATCATACCAGTGTGATACCACTTTATTCTTCCTTCGTTTTTGATTGTCTTTAGGGGCACCATCTGCTGCTTAAAATGTTGACCAATTTCTCTGCAAGATGCTCCAATTGCAAACTTGTACGTATTTCATACATAAATTAGATAAATTCGCCAGCCGCCCAAACATGTTTGATATGCACCCAAGCGTGAACAATTCACACGTAATGAAGGAGACAGTATGAAGCACGGAACTTGCTTCTGCTGCCATTTTTGCCCTCTTAAACCTTCGGTTAACCGTTTTCTTGGTTCATGGCGGTGCTCAGTAATGATAAATCCAAGCCTTTCGAGTGTCTGATCCACCAGGCTACCTGGCAAGGCTATTCTAATGCTGCCATATAGAGCCTTGGGACAGACCTGACGCAGCTAATACAGAAGTGTTCTATGGCGAAATTCTGCCCTCTGGAGATGTTTATCATGCATACCTCTTAGTTGTTTCGCATTTTAACCTCGAAGGATGGTGGGCATGATTGATGCTTATATTTAGGAGGTGAGTCGGATGACTCTGTCTGCCAGCAGACCATGCAAAAGGTACTGATTTTTTGTTTTGGGGGGAGCAGGAAGAAGCCGGTAAGTCTCCTGTGGGCCAAGTAATTGCTTACCTTACCTGCTTTCAACACATGATTGGTAACGAGAGTTAGCCATTTTCTGTTTTAATGCATCGAGTTTTGCCAGAAGACAAATTATGATGCCTCAAGGCATGCAATTGCCTTATTTTGTTGCATATTCTTGGTAATTTACCCCAAATTTCTTAAAGTGGTCCCTCATGGCTGCTTTAACCAAATGTTTTCTATAGTTGTCATGGTTTGCTGACCAGCGAATGACTACTGTATACATGCACTATATTTTGAACACAGAGATACTCTAAGCTGCATAACAATTATAATATGAGTTCAATATTGCTATGTAACAAATAGTCAGCCCAACCCATTTAAAGTGAAGCCAACATCTCAAACTTTGTCATTAAATAT